TAGGAATTTCACACCTGCAAGAGAACACATGTAATAATCCTCATAAAATAATACTATGAATATTCTTGTGATTTGGGAATTGATCATCAGGTTAAATGCTGAACTTGGGTTAGTTTGGCTTTGCTATTATCCTAAAATGATTTTATGTGTCTTTACTGCTAACACAAAAAGCACCAAAATTTATCAAACCTTCAATAAAATCTACTATAGGAATAAAATTTTTTAAAAAAATTTAACCTACAGGTATCTTTCACTTACAAACTTCGTTTATCTCTGAAAATCTGTAGGTGCAAAACATGTAAGGTTAAATTATGTATGTACGTGTATATATATGTTGTTGTTAGATGCTGTCGAGTCGGTTCCGACTCATAGAGAACCTATGTACAACAGAATGAAACAATACCTGGTCCTGCATCATCCTCACAATCATTGCTATGTGTAAGCCCATTGTTGCAGTTACTCTGTCAGTCCATCTTGTTGAGGGTCCTCCTCTTTTTCGATGACCCTCTACCAAGCATGATGTCCTTCTCCAAGGACTGGTCCCTCCTGAAAACATATCCAAAGTACGTGAGATGACATCTCACCATCCTCACTTCCAAGGAGCATTCTGGCTGTACATCTTTCGAGACATATTTATTCATTCTTCTGGCAGTCCATGGTATATTCAATATTCTTCACCAACACCATAATTCAAATGCATCAATTCTTCTTCAGTCTTCCTTATTCATTGTCCAGCTTTCACATGCATATGAGGTGACTGAAAAGACCATGGTTTGGGTCAGGCACACCTTAGTCCTCTAAGTGACTCTTTGCTTTTCAATACTTTAAAGAGGTCTTTTGCAGCAGATCTGCCCAATGCAATATGTTGTTTGATTTCCTGACCACTGCTTCCATGGGCGTTGACTGAGGATCCAAGTAAAATGAAATCCTTGACAACTTCAATCTTTTCTTCGTTTATCATGACGTTGCTTACTGGTCCAGTTGTGAGAATTTTTGTTTTCTTGATGTTGAGGTGTAATCCATACAGAAGGCTATAGTCTTTGATCTTCATCAGTAAGTGTTTCTAAGTCCTCTTCGCTTTCAGCAAGCAAGGGGGTGTTATCTGCGTATCACAGGTTGTTAATGTGTCTTCCTCCAATCCTGATGCTGCGTACTTCTTCATATAGTCCAGTTTCTGGGATTATCTGCCCAGCATACGGACTGACTAAGTATGGTGAAAGGATACAACCCTGACGCACACCCTTCCTGATTTTAAACCACGCAGTCTCCCCCTGTTCTGTTCGAACGACTGCCTCTTGGTCTATATACAGGTTCCTCATCAGCATACATATATGTGTGTGTGTCTGTGTGTGTATATATGCATATATATATGTATATATATATATGTTCACATATATGAACATTTTATTCTTGAAATTGCAAAAAAATTGTAACACTACATATGTAAAAATGCATACACAAAAATATAATTATATGTGTTTTCCACAGGTTGAAATATCCACAAATACATTTTAAAAGGCCTAAAAATGTGAAGGGAAAATGAAATGAGATATATCCTCCTATAACATTTTATTTTTTATAAGGAGAATATAATCGTGTTAAAATATGAGTTATAATTTATAGATTATAATAATTAATCGAGAAAAGTTTACAAATCAAACCTTACTTTCCCATTTACTTAGTTTATAATCTGAGAGATACTGCTCCATTAAAAAAAAAAGAAAAAGAAAAAGAAAAAGAATTCGGGCCCAGTAATATAATTATACTCAGGCTTTAAAAAGATAATTATCTAATGCAATATTACTACTACTCCGATCTCCTAGTAAATCTTATACTGTTTTGCCACTCAAAAAAGCAAGGGAGACATCTTTAGAAAGCTCAAAGGTATTTTTACCTTAGTATTTTTAGCACTGCCATACTTTTCCAGGCAGTTTTACATTTGAATTACGTAGTTACTTTCATTTTCTACAGCCATAATAGCTTAAAGACTCTATCCTGAAACATGCCAGATGTATCTTAACATTCTTCATTGCTTTACTGGTAACATCTTCATTTTTAATTTCTGATTCCAAACATAACATCCATTTGAGAGAAGTACTTTGTAAAGGAACTCAAACACACTTTTATATTTGTAATATCTCAAGGAGTTTTAAAATCAGGGCTGTGAAAAATGTTTTCAAGTTGGAAGAGAGATATGAAGTTATAAATTTACCATTACTATAAAGAGAAGAAAGTCACGCCCACTTTGAAAAATGACAATCGCAGGGAAGAGGACAGCATAGTCAGACAAATGGGGAGTAGAGGACACACACAGAAGCAGGAAAAGAGAAAGCAGAAAGAAAGAGGCAGAAAATGTTCCATCACATGAAGAGATACACAAATATGAGGGTGGAAAAAGTGTTAGAGGAACAATGACTTGTCTATCCGTCACACCTCCAAGAAAACAAACAGAACCACAAGGAAGGCACCAAAATACACAACAGCATCTACAATAGCTGGAAAGCTCAGAAATTAAAAGATGTGCCGGGGGAAATCATCATTTGCAAAGGGCCAAAGATGGGGCTGTGGAGGACAGCAATTCCATTTCAACTCCGCTCTTCTTTCCATACGCGAATAAGAGTTGTTCTTTCCCTGACCACTCATCTAATTTTCACATAGTATAGAAAAAGAGAGAGAGAGAATGTAAGGCCTTTGCTTTCCAAAATAAATAGAACAGATTAAGGACATATAACATACCAGAAAACATGTAACTAGTCAACCAGTAATTTATTTAAGAGACCTACAGTAGGAAAACATCACAGAAAGTTAGTTTGCATAAAAATATAAAAATGTATGCATATTTAAGGTAAATTACCATAAAATCAGAGTCCCTGGATGGTACAAATGGTTAACGTGCTCTGCTACTAACCAAAAGGTTGTAGGTTCAAGTCTACCCAGAGGTTCAAGTCCATCTCAGAAGAAGGCTTAGTGACCTACTTCCAAAAATTCAGCCACTGAAAACTGTATGGAGCACAGTTCTACTCTAACATACATAGGGTCGCCGAGTCAGAATCAATTCAACAGCAACTGGTTTTCACAATAAAGTCAAGAACACCTGTAGTCAAAACCTTCAATAACAAGACCTCTGTTTTGCCTCTAGAGGGCAAACTTGGTCTTCTGGAAAAACTAGCCAAGAGAAGTTACTTTCAGACTTTACCAAAAAAGAGGAACTAAAATTTAAGATGTCACTATAGCAGAGGCTCCCCAACTTTCTTGGTTAATAGTGCCCTTAGTGCCTCAGTAATCTTTTTATGGCACTACCTAGACCAAAACAAATACCTAAGAGTTCTTTTTAATAAGTAGTTATGTCCAGTTTAATAACAATTTATGTCCTTACACTTAGTAACCATTTGAAAAAATAAGACACATGAATTGAAGGAAAAAGTTTTATTCTTAAAACACACACACAACTAACTCGTAATTGGGCATGTATACCTGTTGGGCACTGTACAGTTTTCTCAAACCTTGAAATCAGATAGGACACCACCACCCTCATTTCCTATTCCACACTGATTTTTTGCACAGTATCTGATTTTTATCACAGCAACCTCAGAAAACCCAGATTCACAAAGATATGTCACAGAAGAGAACAGACTGCCATCTAATGTTGAAACTGTGTACTACTTCAAGTTTACAGTCTGCAAGGTACCCGACAGATGTGGAGTATCACTGTCTTTGCCTCAAATTTTTTAAATAATCCTATGGTGCCCCTGTGTGTTAAGGAGCTCTGGTGGCACAGTGGTTAAGCGCTCAGCTGCTAACCAAAAGGTCAGCGGTTGGAACCCACCAGCCGCTCCGTGGGTGAAAGATGTGGCAGTCTGCTTCCATAACAATTACAGCCATGAAAACCCTATGGCAGTTCTACTCTCTCCCATAGGGTCACTATGAGTCAGAATCAACTTGATGGCAATGGATTTGGCTTTGGTTTTTTATGATGCCCCGGTGTGTTAGCTGCAGCACACCAGGGTGCCTAGGCACTATTGTTTTAATCCCAGCAGCTTTAAAAACTATTAAAAACTTAATTACTTGTAAGTAAAATTAACTGCAATAAAAGTTTTTAAAGATCTAAACATCATTTTCCTATATTACTTGGGAAAGGCCAGTTTTTATTGTTGTTTTTAGCTTTTTTAGCAATGAAAACAACACTATTGAATCCTTAAAGGAAAGATATTTTTTCCAATTTGGATGATGATTACTGCCTTAATATGATACTTTTTTATAAATGTCAGTTGTGTTAAATCTGACAAACTACTACTGGGAAAGAAAGAAATATGAATAAGTTCATTGTATACCTCCTTCTGAACAACAACTTCTCTGAACTTAAAAACACTGCAAATCGATCCAGTCTCACTACTTTCCAGTCTCACTGATCTCCCAGTACTAAGGAGCACAAGCTCTTAGGTCAAATAAGATCTGAAATGCTTGAGAATTCAATGATACAGACATTAATGCAACCATCAGAAGAACTGGATCCTAAACTAGTAGAAATGGATTATGTACCCAGCCTTGAAGTCCTTGGTTTAGGCAGAACATCAGAGAAGTGACAAAGGAAAAAGTTCAACCTCATAATTTACTGTTTTTGCTATCTACTGTTTCATCAGCTCATAACTACTAACCCCATAAAATCTGTGCTACTGGCAAATGCTACCATATTTAGTTGGCAGTCAAAGTATGTGGCGAGAGTGATTAGCTAAGTGAAACCAAAAAAAAAAAGGTATCCAAAAAACAACTGGGAAAGAAAATCAAAGTTTTATTACTTTAAAGAACTTTTCAAAACCATAAAAGGTAACTGAAAATATATGGCCTGTTTAAAATAAAAAAATTTAAAAAGCTACTATAAGTATCTATAATCCCAAAAGTTTGTATCTAGAAAAATAAGAATAATACTAGGATATGGTTAATTATCAAGAAAAGAATGCTTGAAAAGATAAAACAAACTACATGGCTATATCAGTACTTACCTGCTGAATGATTTTGGAAGTTCTCTGAAGATTCTCTCTGGGAGGGACTTTACCAAATAATTTCCAACCAGGAGCACTATGGGCAACTGATTTGAGTTCCTTTGTCCTTTTCGGAAAAAGGTTTCTGAAACACAGAAAAGTTATATGAATTGTGTTTTTTTGTAACCAGAGAGCTATTTAACAGTAATTTTTAAAGTATGTTTATTCCCAAAACAAATACAAAATATCTTTAAATAAAATTATTTCTACTATTGACTATTACTTAAATTAACAAAAAATTCAATTAAGAATACCTGGCTTACACAGAAGTATTGGAAGAATCAACAAAGCACTAAAGAGATAAACAAACTGGGAGAAGGATGACAACTGTAAACAATGTAAATATTTGCTTTGAATCAGCTACAGAATACAGAGAATTGACTGTACAAAAAAAGCCAAGAATTTTACAACAAAAATGTTAAAGAACCTATGTAAAATAGTGAAAGGATCAAATAATACGATATTTGGAAAAATATTTCAGTAATAACTGTTTCACTAATAATTTGTTATTGTTTGTAATAAAGCGTACCTACTGATTTTCTGTTGTTAGAACATGTGTATATGTAAATTGTTTTTCCTAGCACAGGCTACGTACAGGAAAGCTTCCTGCAAAAGAGTCAATCTATAACCAAGCAAGAAAGTATCTCTTACTGAAAAATCTAAAAATTCTGCAAAGGGTCAAGGATGTTATCTTATATCCATGCTCTAATGAACCAAATCAAGTACCTACTGCACAAGGAAGCAGAGTGGATATTCAAAATATGCATCCATCAATACAATGACTAAGGCATTGTGTCACGGACCAATTAGATAAGATGCTAATGAATCCAATTGAATATCAATCCTTTATAAATGGACATTAAGGAGATTTTTAATTTGCATATACAGTTACAAACCATTGCAAATTATCTGAAGTCCTAAATATCTAAGTTTATCCTGCACTCAAAATGGCATACAAACATATCTGTTCTTAAAAGCATAGTGATAACGAGGAAATAAGCTTTTAATGCATAATGTTAAGGCTGTCTTCAAGTTTAGAAGGGTATGTATGGACTCCTACAAAAGATGGATCTAAAGGAAGAATATGGGGTAATCTATAAAAAAGAAAAGAAACATATATCTCCTTGAGTGTGCGATGGAAGAAAACAGACGACAATCTAGAGTAACTTCTATTTAGGGCACCCTGGAGGTTTCATCTAAAAGACAAAATATAACAACTTAATTTTCTACTTCCTAAGATCTCTAAGTTGGAGGTTTTCAATAATGACTATACTAAGGACCAAGAATACTTATAAAAATTTCAACCTCAAAGGATGGCCTATTAATTTAAACAGTGTTTTTTATCTTGTGTACCACTTTCCAATTTATTGCCTCTTAGCTCCAAATTCACTCATCAATATATGCTGTGTGATAACAGATGGAATTCTATTAAACGTTTCTCTTTTAAAATGAGCATGTAAGTTAAGCTTTCTCAACACAGGGCATTGCAGGAAGAAGGGACTCTCCTGCAGTTTCCAGCTGTTGCACAGTGGGTCAGTGGAATGGATGTGAGCACATCCAGTGGAACTCTGCTCAGACATGTGCCCAGAACATGCAGTCACTTGTCACAAACAGCCTCGGCTTGGAGATAACCTCCCCATGGCCCTCCCGATATGGATACTAGTGCCTCAAAGGCTTCCTGCCAGCACCAGTACCCCAATTCCCTCTGCAAGCCCCACTCAGCCCACCTGTACCCCAGAGGGTTTCCACCAAGCCACACTTCCTCTGCAAGTCCCCACATGACTGACCTGTACCCCAAAGGGTTCCCTCTGTAGATTCCATAAGGCCTGATTGACCCTAGAGGGTTCCCACTGAGCTGTGCTCCACATTTCAAGTGTTTACGAGCCGTATTTAGCTACTGGCTACCATATTAAATAGTGCAGATATGGAACATTCTCATCATCACAGAAACTTCTATCGGATGGTGCTTTTTAGGAGAAAAGGACTCTGAATTTCAGCTTCCAGTTTTTCCACAAAATAATAAGTTCTCATCATAGATCACCAAATACACATTTAACAGTAAATAAATCACCACAATAGAGTAGGTCTCTTAAGTATTTCTAAAATAAAAATTACCAGATAGATCACAGAATGCTTATGAAATGTTGAAAGCAAAAAAGATAAAAAAAAAAGAGCAAAAAAAAAAAAATCAACAATGACTAGAAAGATGAAAACATAGCAAGAAGAAAATTTAGAAACAAGAAACTCTTGAAATTCTTCAAATTCTTGAAATAAAAACTCAATACAGACAGTCCCCAGGTTACAAACATTCAACTTATGTACAACCCATAGTTACAAACCAACCCCTGTAAAACCTATCATATTAAAAATTCAAGGTACATACAATGGTTCTTCACAACGAACGGGCACTAGATTGTGACGCACATCAAAACATTATTATTATTACTGTATTATTATGTCAAAGATGTTTTAGTCTATCTGGAAGTGTTTCTTTAATGTTTTTATGCATAGAAAGGTACACTATATACTGTATACTAAGACAAACATTTGACCAACTGATGTTAGATACGAACCATACCTACAAATTCTACTTAAAGACAGACTTAGGAATGGAACTCATTCATAATCCAGGGACTGCCTATAAATTGATAAAACAGTAGTTTAAATACAGTTGAAGAGAGAACTGGGGACTGAAAGATAGTACTGAAAAAATACAGCATAGAATACACCAGAGAGATAATATTAATTAGAGAATAAGAGATGCTCAATATAGAATGTAAAGATCTAAACATTTCTAATCAAAGTCTTAGAAGGAGAAAATAGACAATGTTAGAGAGGTAATGTATTAGGAGATAATGCTAAGAATTTTCCAGAACTGATGACTCATCAGTCAAACTTATCAGGACAGCCACATTTGGAGACACTATAATAGTGAGGAACACAAACACAAAGAATATTAAAAAGCAGCTGGAGATAAATGATGGATCAATTTTAAAGGAATGAGATTAGACTGACAGAGACTTCTCAATAGCAACAACAGAAACCTGCAGACAATGGAATATCTTTAGCATACTGAGAGACAATAACTATCAACCTAGAATTATGTACCAAGCAAAACTATCATTCAAAAATAAGAAAATTTTAACAAAAACAGAGAATGTACTATCAATAGACTTATACTAAAGGAACTTTCAAAAAATATACTTCAGAAAGAAGGGAAATTGTCCCAAAAGAAAGGCCTAAGACACAAGATAGAATGGTAGGCGGAAAAGTGAAGCAGAGGTAAGTCTAAGCAAGAATTCTGTATAAGCTGTGGGGACCTTGGTCTCTGGGAACATCTAGCTCAATTGCATAACATAGTTTATAAAGAAAATGTTCTACAATCTACTTTGGTGAGTAGCGTCTAGGGTCTTAAAAGCTTATCAGCAGCCATCTAAGATACTCCACTGGTCTCACCCCTTTGGGACCAAGGGAGAATGAAGAAAACTAAAGACACAAGGGAAAGATTAGTCCAAAGGACTAATGGATCACAACTACCATGGCCTCCACCAGACTGAGTCCAGTACAACTAGATGGTGCTCGGCTACCACCACCAACTGCTCTGACAGGGTCACAATAGAGGGTCCTGGACAGAGCTGAAGAAAAATGTAGAACAAAGTTCTAACTCACAAAAAAAGACCAGACTTACTGGCCTGACAGAGACTGGAGAAACCCTGAGAGTATGGCCCCCCAACACTCTTTCAGCTTAGTAATGAAGTCACTCCTGAGGTTTACCCTTCAGCCAAAGATTAGACAGGCCCATAAAACAAGACTAAAGGGGCACACCAGCCCAGGGGCAAGGACTAGATGACAAGAGGGGGCAAGAAAACTGGTAATAGGGAACCCAACGTGGAGAAGGGAGAGTGTTGACATGTCGTAGGGTTGTTAACCAATGTCATAAAACAGTATGTGTACTAACTGCTAAATGAGAAACTATTTGTTCTATAAACCTTTATCTAAAGTACAATTTTAAAAAAAATTTTTTTAAATTTCTCCTATGATATCACCCTCAAAAAAAAAAAATTCTGTATGAAATAAAGATAAACAGGATGTCTAATGATAAACAAAATGTCTGTGAGATTAAAAGAGAAGAAAACTAAAATACTGGACAAAAATAGTATGAAAGGTAAAGGTAGAGGGGATATTAGAGTTAAGCATTCTAAGGTTCTTACATATTATTTCAAGGCTAACACTTTAAGATTTTAACTTTAGACTTTAAGCATTCATGGTAAAACTTCAAGAGTGTCCATTAGAATAACAGAAATAAAATGTACAACTTTAAAACCAGGACAGTTTCTTGTTTTTTTCCCCAAAGGATAAGAAAATAAATATAAAAAGAAAAAGCAAACCAGTCAATTAAGTTTTTAAATAAAAAGACAAGGAAGGAGACAAATTCTTAATAAATATAAAGCAAATAGATAGTACATAAAAAGTAAACATGTATCCGTAATCATAATATATTTAAATGGATTAAACTCATTAGTAAAAGATTATTAGACTAATTAGAACATTCTCTAGGACAGAACATATGCTAGACCAAAAATCAAATCTCAGTAAATTTTAAAGGACTGAAATCATACAAAGTGTGTTCTCTGGTTACAACTGAATAAATTAAAAAGAAAAAAAAAAAGTAAATTTGGAAATCCAAAAATATTCAGAAATTAACCAACACACATTTTTCTAAATAACACATGGGTCAAACAAAAAATCACAAGGGAAATTAGAAAATAATTTCAACTGAATGAAAATGAAAACACAATATAACAAAACTTATGGGATCAGGTAAAGCAATGCTTAGAAAAAAATTTATAGCTTTATATGCTGATATAAGAAAAAAACACAAACAGCAAAAGATAAAATAGATAATTGGGACCTCATAAAAACTAAAAACTTTTGTTCATCAAAGGACTTTGTCAACAAAGTGAAAAGACAACCTACACACTGAGAGAAAATTTGGAGGAAGCATATATCTGATAAAGGTTTAATATCCAGAATATATAAGGAACCTCTACAACTTAACAACAAAAAGACAAATAAATAACCCAA